ATTTTTCTAATATGTCATCATGCCTATTTTGTTTTTTTCTTCAGGTTTTATATTATTTAGAATATCTTTTCTCATCTTTTTCTTTTTTTTTCATTTACCAGAGACTGAATCCAGGGGCACTCAACCAATGAGCAACATCCCGAGTTTCTTTTTTTTTTTTTTTTTTTTCTTTTTGAGACAGTGTTGGTTAGGGCCTCTGTAAGTTGCTGAGACTGGCTTTGAACTTGTGACCCTCCTGCCTTAACCTTCCAAGTTGCTGAGATTACAGGCATGTGCCATTGAACCTAGTAGCTCTTTTCTCCATTTTTAATTACCCAAAGACAGGATAATAATGAGTCTTGGTCTTGTGATTAATGCTTAAATTTTTGAGGAATTTAAAGTAAGTTAAAATCCATTTATAGGTAACATCAAACAATTTGATAATGACAGATCTGATCTTTGCAAAGTTTTTAAAAAGTTGATTTAGAGAACAAAGATATTGTTTTATTAATTTAATTTCCTATTTTCCGATTTTGTTAGATTTTTGATTGCTTTAAAAAGTACTACAAGAGACAAAGTTTATTCAATTCCTCTTTGTTCTAAAGTCTCTTTTTGGTTTACTACTCTGCTTAAATTAACTACTATTTTTAAAAATGGTATGTTTTTGTTGATACAAATACTTTAAATCTTTAAATGTTTGATAGTCTGAGTATAATACTGTAAATCGTGATTTTTTTGTCTTAACATATTTTAGAGGTAACCAAATTGTCTTCCTAAGTCATTAAGCAATGTAATAATATCATCTTACATATTATTTGCAGTCATTTTAGATAGATAACGTGACCTATACCTCTATAGTTAATAAGGGGCAATCTTGCTTTATTCATCTTCCATCTCAAGACAAGAAGATTTTGGTGTAGGATAGTATGTCTATTTTAAAGGGGCTATCTCCATTGTACTGTTTGCACTGTGATTTAGTTAATAAAACATTTAAATATTTTTTCTTAATTAGTATAATGACATTTATTCTTATAGACTGGGTTCAAGGTTTTCGCGGTACAACAGAACATACCTAAATTCTAAAGATGTTATGGAACATGGCACTAAACTTTCTTCCCAGATGGAAATGAAGATTAACCCTGATTGCACAGGAAGGACTTTAGCTGACAGGCACTATTTAGTGCAGATCTGACAGGACTACTTTTACTAACAAGTTGGTTTTCTTTGGATAAAGATGATAGAACTAAAGAGATTATTTTTATTAGTTACAATCTATTATACAGACTGGATTGCTTTACTCTTAATGTTTTATATTTTTCTGGTCTGAGTTAATCTTTCTAAAAAACCTTCTGTTACTTATAATTGGCTAAGAACAAGTCTGCTGACACTGACTCATAAACTGTTGCTTCTCCCCAACATGGGACCAATCAGATCAAAGGCCAAATCAGGACAAAGCTCCTGCAGCATGGAACCAACCTGCATGGCAAATAATCATCATGTATTTGGAGAAAATCTTTCCAAGACAAGAAGGAAAATCACATGAAGTTGTTTTTCAAACCCCACCAAAAATAAATAACCACAAGGTTATGGAAAGAGTTCTTGCACAAACTAACACTAGTCTTTCCTCGAGGTGGAGCCAGTATTTCAGACGTCGTCTCCTAAGAAATAAGCATCTGGTTCCTTTCGTTCAAGTTCCTTGATGGGATCTTACACACAGAGCCAATCAATAAACTGCCAACCATGGACAGAGAGCCCAATTCCCTCAAGAATGAAGGATAAAATAAACAGAAAAGATTTGAGTGAGACCACCTTTGAAATAAAAGCAATTTCCTGATAACTGCTTTTCTTCATTCCATACCTCGTCGTGATAAGGACAAGAAGAATCAAGAAAATTAAGACTGATATATTCTCTGGCTAAGGATAGCCTAGCTAAATTTATATATATATATATAGATATAGATATATATATATATAAATATAGATATAGATATATATATATATGGAGAGAGAGAGACAGATAGATATAGATATCTCCCCCACCTGGCTTGTTTCTATAAACTATAACCATTTCTGAAGGACTGGTGGAGAAGTAATCTAGTTGCTTCTCTCACCAGTTTAATCAAACTGCATAAAATTCATTTTTCTTTTTTTCACCATATACTTATTTCTTATGTGAGTGGCTGCTGAATCCGGGTACCTGGAATGCAGGCAGGCTTCCTGGATTGACTGCCAGTAACACCAAATCAATGTAAACAATTTAAAATTTCAACATCTCTCAAAACCATACACTTTTTATCATTTTTCCCATGAACTTCCTGCCTGAGATACCATCAACTCTCCTCTGGCTACTGTGATTGCCTGCCTACTTTTAACTATTCTGCTTTAATATACTGTTCTCCAGACTAAGCCATATGATCTTTTCAAAATATAAATCTGACCAAGTCACCCCCTGTTAAAATTCTTTAGAACTTCCATTCCTTTTGGAATACAAAATTCCCTTGATCAAGATTTACAAGGTCAAAAACTGCCACGCTTCTACTTCATAATTCCATAGCCTCAGCCTACATGACACTTTTCCTTTCACTTCATCTTAAACTCAAAATACTCCCTCCCAAAAAAGAACCTTTTGGCACTTGTTTCCTCTACTTGATATAGTATTTCTTTCTTTCTCTGGATTTCAATTTAATCTTTATTTGTTCCTTTTAGATATTGACAGTAGAGTGTATTTTGACATATTATACATATATGGAGTATAACTTCCCATTCTTGAGGTTGTACATGATGTGGAGTTACACTGGTGGTATATTCATATATAAACATAGGAATGTTAAGTCCAATTCATCCTGCTGTCTCCTATTCCCATCATTCCTCCCTACCCTTCATTCCCCTTTGTCTAATCCAATGAACTATTCTTTCCTCCCCCGACTTGTTGTGTATGAGCATCCACATATCAGAGAGAACATTTAACCTTTGGTTTGGGGGAATTGGTTTATTTCACTTAGCATGATAGTCTCCAGTTTCATCCATTTACCAGCAAAAAGTCATAAAGGCATTCTTTTTTATGGCTGAGTAATATTCCATTGTGTATATACACCATATTTTCTTTATCCAGTCATTTGTTGAAGGGCATCTACGTTGGTTCCATAGCTTAGCTACTGTGAACTGAGCTGCTATAAACATTGATGTGGCTGCAACATTCTAGTATACCGATTTTCAGTCCTTTTGGTATATACTTTCTTTTAAAAAGCATCTCCTGACTTCTCTAACTACTTCAAATTCCTTTATTATGGGCCGCACTGCACTGTGAACCAATCCTTTGCCTTTAATATCACCGTTGTGATATTACATCTGAATGGCTGATTGTATTTATGAGCGACTATTGGATTAATTGTAGTTCCATGAAGGCAGGATATGAATCCATTTACTCCCCACTGTATACCTAGAGTACAGAAAAATTGTAACACAACAAATGCTTCCTTGATTAATAAATAACCTTATTTGTCCTTCACAACTCCCTTATTAAATATATACAGTTATTTGTCCCATTTCATAGATGGGGAAAATAGAACAATCAGGAGTTCAGGTAAATTATTCTAGGTCATACAGCTAGAAGATAAAGAGCTAGCTGGATACCAATCAAGGCATTCTTATCCTAAGAACCAAGGTACTGATTGGTCTACTGCTGTTCATATGTAACAAAATGCCAGGCCAGTCCTTGTCTGTGTAGTAGTGAATCTTAGAGATTTACTATACCAAATTAATGCTTTAGAATTCATCCAACAAATAGGTATAAAGTGCTTACCAAGTGTCACTTGCTAAGCACTAGGATTACAGAGTAAGTAGGACATAGGCCCACAGCCCTTACTGAGATAAACACCCACTCCACTATTTATTTAATGAGCATATAAAATGTACCAGTCACTATACTAAGAGGGAGCCTAAAAGATAAACAAAACCTTAAATAATTATATTGAAAATGAATTTATTTCATGTGTGAGAAGTGTTAAATAGAAAAAAAATCAGGGTGCTATAGAAATAGGCCATACGGAGACTTATACATAGCCTGGTGTGTCAAGAGAGGTTTTGTAAATACACAACATTTAAGTTGACACTTGAAGTATACATTAGCAAATTAAACACAATTAAAAAAAAACATTATTGTTATAAGAATTTGTACAAAAGCAATTCAGTGGAGAAAGAATTAGCACTTAGGGTTAAGAGGTGCAAAATCAGGTAATGCAACAAGTAAACACAAAATTAAATATCTGTAGTCATAAACAATATTGTCCCCTATACCAGGGGCAAGAAAACTATAGACTTGAATGACAAGTCCAGTTGGTGGCCCCTTTTTGTAGACCCTTAAGCTAAGAACGATTTTCACATGGTTATTAAAAAGAAAAGGAAGAGGAGATAATTAACACAGATCATACATAACCCACAAAGTCTAAAATTTTTACTAGTCCTTTATAGAAAAGTATGTCAGATTGGTTTTTTTAGCTCAGTGGTAGAGTGCTGGCCTAGCATTTGCAAGGCCCTGCTTTGATCCCTAGCACCACAAAAAAAAAAAAAAAAAAAAAAAGAAAATGTTTACCAACACATCCATGCTCCATACACTGAAATCAATTAAAATATAATGAAGCCTTGACTTACAAATTCACTAAACACTATTCTACCCAAACACTAAATATGGGTACTGAATATATATCATGCCTATTTTTTCAGATTGATCTTTGCAGCATAATATTCCAATGTACTAAATTTATAGTTACATAATATGCATATTTTATTTAAATGTGCCACCAACACATATTTAAATAATATAAACACGTTGAACAAGATGGTTAACAAGATGTATAAAAACTGGTACAGATAAAATTAAAGCTTTAAAATCAAATATTATTTTTATATTTTAGCCAAAAACTTAATATAAAATAGTTACAGTGTAAGAGTATAAATCAGTGGATTCAATATTTTTTGGAAAAGTAAATGTTATATATTAATAGGAAAGGTGGTATATTTACCAATATTTTTTTCAATTCTTCAAGTTCTACTTCTTTGTTATTTTTAAACTGAGTCATCTCTTCTAAAATAAGCAAAAGAATATAAATGTGTTAAAAACAGGATTAAAAGAATAGGAAAGTGGGGCTAAATAATAATGATGCTATCTGAAAGGGGAAAAAAAGATTAATGCAACTCAAGTACTATAAAACACAGAAGAAGCACAGATTCCAAATTAACTAACTAAAATAATAATGGATAAATATTAATAGTAATGTTTTTATAAATTAATTCCACAGCTAAATGAGCCAAATGTTCACAAAGCAAAATGAACAATGTACCTACATAAAATATATTGTAAATGAAGTCAGTATGTACCTTTATCTTCAACTCATCAATACCTAGTTAAATCTACCTAACCTAAATCTTCACTCCAAACTTAAATGAAGTTATCTTTCGTCAAGCTAACTCTGATCTTGTACTTTGGATTTCAACATTCCCACCTCCTCTTAGACTTTATCTGCTCTATTACTAACATGTACCAACTCTATGTAGAGGAATCTTTTATTTTTCCTATTCCATCTAAAAACCCCATTTGAATATAAAACAAATAATAATTAATCTTTCTGCCCTTCCAAGCTACCATCAGAGGGCTGGGGATGTCATTCAGTTGCAGAGTGCTTACCTAGTGTACGCCAGGCACGGGATTCATTCCCCAGTATTGGGGGGGAGCGGGGGAGAAGGTATGCTTTACACTGTCAGATTTCTCATTTTGTTCCGCAAATTTTGTTAGCTACACATTTCTTTCTTAAATCTATGCAAAACTAATGCCTATCTCCATATGATCTCAAAGGTTAACATAACCATTTTATGATGTAACTTATCAGTTTTCATCATTATGAAGCTTGATAGTATTTGATACTATTTTCCCTTTATCAAGACCTTGCATTATTTATATTTCCTGTTTCCTCTCTAACTCCTCTTTTATTGTTGTTTTTTTCTTAATAACCTTCCTTCCCTAGTGATGTTCAGTTGTCACCTAAAAATGTACTGGATCTCAAATATTGTCTTTCCTCACAATTATGGGTTATTGATTATTAGAAATATAATAGAATTACTGAAAATTTATCAGACTCTATACATTTTTAAAAACCACTTACAATAATTGCCCACAATCTTTAAGGAAAAGTCAACAGAATATGACATATCAATATATAATCTAAAAAAAAAGAAATCTGTAACATGCAAAGCCTATTTAAGCAAAAGTTTCATTTTAAGTTAAAGTATGTAATTTTTTAAAATCTAAGGACTGAAAACAATGCAATAGCATGTCTCTACACACTCTTTCACCTCAATCTAAAAAAATTTTAAAAAGACCACACACACACACACACACACAAAACAACATTACTAAAACAAGACAGCCTACCATTAACAAACCAGAAAGCCAAAGAATCCTTGGGGAAAAATAACTTGCACTAATTCAATGAAAACTGAGTAGACCAACTGCACCAGGTTACCAGACCTCCTTCTTCAAAAAACAAAAATCATAAGAATTGTTGTCAAAGGAACACAGCAATGCCCCAAATACCTCATGATCCCTAAGCAAGATAAACATCCCTTATACCAAAAGACAAGCTACCATACCCAACTCTCCTTGCAGTACCTGCCTCTAGTTCCCAGAATCAGAAGAATCATTCTCATTATGTGTGGGTAAATATGAATTCTTACATAATTCAATGAGTAAAAAGTCAGATATCAACAATCTGTGAATACAAGTAAAACTATGAAAGACACTCTCCAAATTCAACTAAGAGAAACTACAACTCAAAGAGAAAGAATTAATAGAGCCAACAAAAGTAGATGTTTTGTTAAGTGTAATATGTTCCAACAGAATACTATGATGCTGAAATAGGTTATCTAGTGCTCTCAGAATTTAACATTTGGCAACTGAGATTTTAAAACAGCAAAATAAACATAATAAAAGATTTAATTAGTGGTGGAGAAGTTAAAAAAAAACAAAGTCCTCCAAAATTTAGGGAAAAGAACAAAGAAGGAGACGGTATAAAACAAAATATAAAAAAATACAAAGGCTAGATCCAAAATTTCCAAACTCTATCCATCAAAACTTCTGAGAGAAAACATTAACACTTAGGAGAAGAAATAATAGATGAAAAATTTTCAGAGCTAAAAATGACAAGCTATCCTCAGATTAAATAGTCCATCAGAAAAAACAGCAATAGTATGATATTCCATTTTAAAACAATATTCTCTCATGCCTGGACTACTCAAATAGCCTCTAAGCCCATTTCTCTGCTTCTGCTTTTTTCCTCATTACCTGTACTCTCCACACACCACCAAATTTATCTGACATACAGAAGATAATGAGCTTTAAAAAAAAAAAGTCAAAATCTCTTGATGATTTTCCTTCACTGTTGGAATAAAAATTCCTTTCCTTGAACCTACCTGATTTACCTCCCTGAGTTCATTTCATTCCTCTCCATATCAAGTTCTCCCTGGTACCCAAGTTCACCTAATATTTTAAATCTCAGTTATTTTTTAGTCTCAGACAAAGGCTACCCCTAATCACCAAATCTAAATTAGGTCATATTACTCTAACATATTGCATTATTTTGTTTGTGGGCATAGGGGAAAGGGAAAAATTCAAAAGTTATTTCAGAGTTAAAATCTCTCAAATTATATTATAAATTATATATTAAAAATTACAAACAGTAGCAACTAAAAAACCAACTAGATGTGAAGCCAAAAGGAGAAAGAAGAAATTCCAAGATTTCGGTTTTGAGAACTACACTACTACCAAAAGAAGGAAATAAGCTATATTGAGACCCTATGTGATTGTTAATGCTACTTTTCCAAATACAAAACTTTCTACACTCACCCCATCATCCTCTACAACTATCCAAAGACTCTTACGGTCTACTTTTAAAATCTACCTCTTCCATAAATCCTTTCCCAACTATGCAACCCAACATCGATTTTGGCTTCCTTTTGGCATCAGCATCTAAACAGCTCCAACAATAGAAATCTCTGAGCATTTACCCCAAATATAGAAACACGTAAAAAATACAAAGACATATTTTATACTGTTATAATGAAAGGTTAATAATCTTGAGAACTGTTTGCTAATCTTGTTCCCAGAATGTGCTGTCCCCAACTGCCAAACTGCAGAATGTATTCCCTCACCCGGTTGCAGGCAACCGCCCACTCGCCCTGACCCGGCAATGAACTTCCCTCCCTGCCCTCTCCAAGGAAAGTATATAAGCTCTGCTTAAGCTATTCTCAGGGCTCTTTGCTCTATCCAAGTGAGCTCTGAGCCCCAGCATGCTGGACCCCAATAAACCCTTTGCTGTTGCATGAGACAGTCTCTTGGTGGTCTCTTCCTCCGACGCTCGCCTGACCTTTACAATAATATAAATATGTATTATTTTCATTATAAAACATAAGAACAAATAGAATTTTTAATATTTTCTTCCCTTCCCCTAATATAATTCTTGCTAATCCTTCATTTTGGACACCACTGATCTAAATGTTTCCTATGTTCAAACTTTTTCTCATAATAATTAGAAATGTCACAAGGACATGGTATTTGACTTCCTCTATATGTTCCCACAACATATAGACAATACTAAAAAACACACAGTATTGTTTCATAATTCTAGAATTTCTTATTCAAACTTCTCATAATGCATTATTATGAGAAAATCACACTGTTCATTGAATTTGTAATATGACTAATATCAGCCACTTAATTTCAATACTGAGCTGAACTGTTACAAATAAATATCCATTAAAGATATTTTAAGAATAAAAATTATTCCTTAATCTACAACAAATGCTGTCTTTAGACATGAAAGTTGTAGATAACATATAACAAAGGATCAGGTTTTTATATAAAAAGTTCATAATCCAACATAAATGACTAAATTTTAAAATTCAGTTAAAATATATAGACATTTCTTACCAAGCATTATTAAGGTCTATGAATCTTAGAATAAGGAAAAGAGAATACAAACATCTCTTAGGTTATTTACATTTCCAGATATCAATGACCTAAATAATGAAAATGAATTGTCTTTTTTAAGATTTAAATTACCGGAGTTGGGGCTGTAGCTCAGTGGTGGAGTGCTCACCTAGCAAACATGAGGCACTGGGTTCAATCCTCAGCACCACATAAAAATAAATAAAGATTTCATGTCTGTCTACAACTAAAAATGTTTAAAAAATTTTAACTTCCTATATTCAATTATGTTTTCATAATTAGCCAATATTATCAAAATAAATGTTATATTTTCTAAATCTTACCCAGTTCATTTGATTTCTTCTGAAGCTCCATGGTAAGTTCTTTCAGGTGATCTTCATTTTTTCCCAATCTTGTAAGACATATTATTTTGCAATGTAAAATATTTTTATCAGAATACATCTAATATCTAAAACTAGTATAGTTTCTTAGAATAGATTCAACCACTCAATTAGTAAACATTTACTGAATATATATATATATAATGTTTTAAAATATTACTATTATAAAAATATGAGTATTATAAACATTATGGTACATTTATTACATCTACACAAAACCTTAAGGTTATGATTATAATTTGTCTCTTAACTATTGATAATCAAATTAATCTATTTTAGAACTTTGAGATTGAACATAATTATTATTATACTAAATTCTGCCTAAGGAACAATCCAAATTGCAAAACATGTATAATTTTCTTGCTTTTGCTGACTTTCTGGTTTTGCAAACTACAAAACTGAGATAATTGGAACAAATGAATCTAAGGTAACTCACAATTTTAAAATTTGAAAATTTCCTGGATAGGTCAATAAAGAATATGTAAGAATATGGAGAACTAGAAAGAGCTAATTTTCTTCCTTTACTATGCATAATCAGTAAGATTAAATTACGATGGTACATAAATGGGATAGTACACCATGTAGCTACTGAAAATGATATACAGTCATTATTTATTAATCAAGAATTTGGATATTAATAAAATAACATAGAATAAAATGGCAAGTTAAAACAGTATTTATGTAAACAATACACATAAAAAAAAAAGACACATACAAAAGAAATACTGGTAGGCCCAGGCTATGACTTAGGAGATAGATCTGTTCCTCTCCTGTACCCTCCCAAATTTTATTAACCCAAAGCTAATGAGACAGAAATATTTACCAGGTCTCATAACACAGCTTTATTTGAATACTTTCTTAATATCAAGAAAAACAGAGTCTTAAACACTCAAGTTTTATACAAACTGCTATTTAGATGAAATGCAAATGAATATTTTACACACAGATAATCATATCCATTAATTTAATAAATATAGAGTACTACCTACTCTATCCAGAATAGTTACTAAGTTTATAAAGCAGATATAAGGTTATAGACCCCAGTGAAACAAACTTCCCAGCCCAGAAATTATTCCTATGAAGCTAATAATAATCCATAGTTTCAATAGATATGTTGTAACCAGTGTAACACACCATTCTGTGCAACTAAAATGTGCCAATAAAAATAAATATGTTCTATTTCTATATCAACACTTAAAAGTTTGTGGATAAAGCTTGACTCTATGGTAAAGAATGCATGGGAACTATCCTAAAGAATACCCTGCTTTTAAATCTTTTCCTGGGATGGGATATCTGCCTACCAAATACAAAAAAAAAAAAAAAGACTTGGCTATAGTTGTTACAGGAATTACACAGCAGATGACAATGAACAGAAATGGTACTGAATGTTAGAAGCAAATTGTTTTTATTCATTTAAAGTAAGATATAGTTTACCTTTGCTGTTCTGTTATCAATAATTCCTCCAAGTTGCAGATAGTTGTTTTAAGATCAGTAATCACAACTAAATGGGCAGCTTTGGCTTTATTAAATTCTTCCATTTGAGCTTCTTTTTCTTCAGTGAGCTGACATATTTTTTTTGTTGCTATCTGTAAATCTTCCTCTGAAGCTTTCTGAGTACTCTAAAATAAGTACAAAACCAAAGCAATAATTCAAAGGCCTTAAGAAAAAAAAAAAAAAAAACCTGACATTATCAGATTCTATAGGTTTGCTGCCTTTTTCGCTCTTAACTTCTTCCTATTCATCAACCCTTCCACTCCCCGTAGAATATCCACCCACTTATTATTTAAAATCACCATTTTTCAAATCCCACCTATAGCTCCAATTTCTCCATGGAATCTTCCTAACCAATCCAACCCACAGAGTTATTTCAATTCTTAGAACTATTATAGTAATTTATTACTCTAAATCACTGTTGGTATACCCAGCTTGATCCTGTATTTCACTTATATTTTTGATGTGTTTTTATCCATTGTCTATGACTAAATTATAAGCATTTTGTAGACTGGTATTTTTCTTCTCTATTTGAAGCTCAGGGTTCTTGTACATAGTATTATATTCAATAAATATTTGTTCATTATTGATAATGTAAGATTTACTACACCTAGTCAGTTTTTAAATCATACCACACTTATTTGCAAAGACATTTTAATATCTTCTAGTTCTGATGTCAAAAGGTCCTTCTTCTCATTTGATTCTTTTAAGCTTTCATTCTGTAATTCTAAAAAAGAAGGTTATAAAAAGGTAGTACTTAGTAGAAAATACATACCAAGAAAACTAATTGTTACTTGTAACAATTACTTTTTCCTCCATTAGATAACACAGTCCAAAATGGGAGAATTATGTGACTACAGACACACTAATTTTAATCAAACCTTTTTGATCAAAGAACTCAAAGACTAATTATTTTTAAACCTATTAAATATTTATAATTTACAATAGCATCAAAACAGACATATAAGAGGAAGCAACTCTGGTAGGTGGATTAAGAGACTTCCCTTATTTGTATTTGTATCAGACCGCTTACATATATCATGCACTGTTTCATTCATTATTAAGAATATGCTTTAGAAATAGAAAAGAAGGGAAGTTTTATCACTATTTTAGAGTGTACAAGACTCAGTGAGGCTCAGTACTTCAGCTCAAATATCTCAACTAACTATGGGAAAAACCTGTACATTAGGTCATCAAGAAGATGGTTTGGGCCTTTGTTTTTTATTGCTGTTGATTTTTATCACAAAATGCTTGGTCAATTCCCTGTGGGAATTCATCAAAGATGAATATTTAAAGATTGTCAGTGCTAAATTTAGAAACTGGAAAAAAACCTAAATATCCAAAAATAAATGTATTAAATGATGATGGTACATAAATGGGATAGAATACCATGTAACAAGTAAAAGATAATACGGTTTTTATTTATTGATCAAGAATCTGGATACAGAGCTAGGTAGAGCACTTTCTAGCACATGTGAGGCATTGGGTTCAATCCTCAGCACCACATAAAAATAAATAAAATAAAGGTATGTGTCCATCTATAACTATTTTTATTTTGGAAAGAAATTAATAAAATAACTGAATAAAAGGGCAGTTTAAAATAGTATTTATGTAGGGGCTGGGGCTGTAGCTCTGTGATAAAGTGCTTGCCTTGCATATGTTGAGGCACTGGGTTCAATCCTCAGCACCACATAAAAATAAAGATACTGTATGTTTATCTACAATTAAATAAATAGTTTTAAAAAATAGTATTTATGTAAACAATGCATATAAAAGGAAAAGATACATACTAAAATATTAAAAGCAACTCATAACCTAATGGTGAAATTATTATTTTATTTTCATGATTGTCTATATTCATTTTTAGCTTTTTGTTTGTTCGTTATCAGGGACTGAAACCAGGGGCACTTAACCACTGCGCCATATCCCCAGCCCTTTTATTTTTTGAGACAGAGTCTCACTAAGTTATCTAGGGCCTCACTGAGTTGTCATTTTTAGTTTTCTATTATAAATATCAATTATTACATTCCTTCATTTGAATATTAAGTTATGAAAAAAGCTTTTGGCCCCACTTAATGGCTAATGTTTATTAAATTCTAAGTCTCAGGTACTAGTATATATGTGTTTTATATGTATGCATTATTTTTTTTATTTTTTGGTACTAGATATTGAACCAGAGCCTTGTGCATGATAGGCAAGCATCTCCCATTCTTTTTTCCACCTTAATTTTGTATGTGTGTGTGTGCTGTGGATTGAACCGAGAGACTTGTGCATGTGAGGCAAGTACTCTACCAACTGAGCTATATCCCCAGCCCTTCCACTTTAAAATTTTAAGACAAGATCTCACTGAATTGCTCACAGGCTGACCTAGAACTTTTATAACTCTTCTGCCTCAGCCTTCCAAGGAGCTGGGATTTCAAGCATATGCCACATATCCAACAGGTGCATCATTTTTATACCTCATATACACTCTAGGAGAGGAAAGAAGTTCATCATCTTCTTTGGATTCAAGTTATATTACATCTTCTTATTCTAGCTACCTGGCCTTGACCATGACTGAATCAGTTTGACTCTAATTTTCCCTGGAAAATTAGAATCATAAATATTATTCATATCTTAAATGCTTCAAGATTATACAACTTAAAATCCTTAACTACAGTATATAGTATATAATCAATAAAGGCTAACAACTATTATGATGATGAAAATGGTGATATATACAAGAAAATTGACTTTAATATTCATGGTATTTATAATACAATTAGCCCGGTAGACAAACAATTGCAAGTGCTGATGGGTATATGCAGAGGACACTTAAGCAAAATAGATCAACAGGGGTAGAGGTTAAGGGAGGCAGGGATAAAGAGGGAAAGTTCAGGGAAGGCTTCTAGAAATTGAGAGTTGAGTTGAAATATTTTAAAGAAATTAAGAATTGGTAATAATAATAGGAGTTAGCTTGGTGTGGTGATAACACACCTGTAATCCCAGTGGCTCGGGAGGCTGAGGCAAGAGGACTTTGAGTTCAAAGATAGTCTCAGCAAAAAGTGAGGCACTAAACAACTCAGTGAGACCTTGTCTCTAAATAAAATACAAAATAGGGCTGGAGATGTGGCTCAGTGGTCAAGTGCCCCTGAGTTCATTCCCCAGTTACCCACCCACCCCCTGACCCCCACCAAAAAAAAAAAAAAGAATAACAGGAGTTAGGAGAAAAAAGAAATTACAAACAGGTAAAGTGTACAAAGGCAAAAATAGAAGAGACTGGATAATACATTCTGGAGTCTAAATGAAATGTATTTCAGTTATATGTCTTAAAGTATAAGGGGGTCTAAGTTGTATACATGTATTGAATTATCACACTGGACTCCACAAATATATGCAATTATTACATGTTAATTTTAAAAGTGATAAATTATAAGGGAGGAGTCATCACAGTTATGATTAGAAAGATAATAAAATTATAATAGGATTTATATGACTTGCTTAGAATCTTTTGCTTTATAAGCCACGAGGACCATGCAAAACAATTAAGGATGTTAAATAACAGAATGATGCCTCAGGTTTTATTTTTTTTTAAAGTTCCATTCTGGAGGGAAAATGCATAAAATGAAAAGGTCACTGGTCTTATTCTGAGTATAAAAAACATAAGAAAAGTACATCAGGAAAGAGGGCAATAATGACTAACAACTGTGGTGTTCATTATGACTATAAAACTATCACCAGACTATATGAAATAAATACTAATGATAGACATTATGATCTACCAGACTACATCATAATCACAAAACCAGCCTTTAGGCAAAAATGGGAATTAAAAATGATTTTCCAAGCCAAAACTTAAATTTGAAGTGCTCCTCAGTTCCCCTAGGATGCCAAAAGATTCAAATGCAAGTTTTCCCTACAAAAACATTCTTAAGTTCTAGTCCAAAAGATAAAATTACATCTTCTGGATCCAGAGATGAAGTTATACCACCTCATGATCCAAAAACACAAGGGAAGCAAAGCACCAAGAGCAGAATCTGGTATAGTATAAAAGCCATCTTGGAGTTACAAAGAGTTCAGATGTCAAAATTACTAGCTATGGAATAAAAAATAAGCATTTTTACATTCTTTAAAAATGAAAAGGAAGTTATCAATAAACTAAATAAAATGTCTACAAATTATATGTTAAACTGAAACTAAAAACTGCACTGTTGGCTGTTTACACCTCTAAGAAGGAGTAAAAATTCAGGATTAAGTTCTAAGAATATTAAAGGCATAACACTCCTGACAAAGTAACAAGATTGTACGAGGTCAAAAGCAAACAGAAAGGGCTGGGGATGTAGTTGAGTGATACAATGCTTTCCTAGCACTGGGTTCAATCCCTAGCACCAAAAAAAAAAAAAAAAAAAGCCTGCTTTTTATACTGAGGACATATGTGATCCTGGCAAAGTTGAAATCTGACTTGAAATTATGATAAGATCAAGAAAAGAAATATTAAAAGCCAAAAAATAGAGTAAAAAAAAATCTGTACAATAATCTGAGAAACTCAGTGTAAGAGGCAAAAGCAAATTAGAGGCAGATTTGTAGGCCAGATTGCTATCAAATGAGTTGTTCAGGGAACCCCAAGTTTTGAAACTAACTTAAGGTGGTCCCAAATGAACACAGATACCATGTAGATGGCATAAGTAAAGGCAAATCCTCCCAGGAGAAGTTATCTACATATTAGACATACCTTAAAGTATTCTTGCAAATAGTTCTTCAGGTTAAAAAACAATGCGCATAAAAATCAAAGAGAACAAGGCTTACAAGTAAACAGTCCGGACTAAAAACTATCAGAAACAAAATACAGGATGAGGACCACAGACATTTAAGATAAAGAATTATCAAAATGAAACTATAAAACAGTGATACTTAGTATAAGATATTTTGAAAATCCTGAAAAATATAAAACTATATAAAGTAGAACAGTAGCATTGAAAAGAATAACAACATCTCAGTAACTAAACATCTCAGTAACTAAAAATTAAAGAGTTTCATAATGGGTTAAAAACAAATAAGAGAATTAGTGAATCATGAGATAAATCAGCAGACTTTAGCCAAAATAAGACACAGAAAGACAAGCTATTAAAAAAAAAATGAAGATTGGTACAGCTGATAAAGTCAGAAAATTAACAGTTGTTTTACTCATTTTTTAATTTTTTTTTTTTACTCAGAAAAAGTGAGAAATAGAATGCGTATAACATCTGAAGGGATTACCAAGAATTTTTAGGAAGCAATAATAAAGGATACTAATTTATACTTTCAAGGAGCCATAAAACAAAACTAAACTATACCTTAAAATATATTATTATAACTACTAGAAAATCAAAGATAAATAAATAGCTGAAAAGCTGCAAGACAGGGAAAAAAAATACCTTATCCTAAAAGACTGAAGAGTTAAGGTAACAATTTTTTGAACAACAACAAAAAAAATATACAATAACCAAAATAAAAAGCTCCGTGGACAGGCTCAGTGACGAAAAAAGAAAACAAGAGGGGACAAAGGAAATAATCAGTGAGCTAGAAGACAGCACAATAAAAACTAGCAACTTAGGAGGCTAAGGCAGAAGGGTTACAAGCTTGAGGCCCCTCAACAATTTAGTGAAGGGCTGGGGATGTGGCTCAAGCGGTAGCGCGCTCATCTGGCATGCGTGCGGCCCGGGTTCGATCCTCAGCACCACATACAAACAAAGATGTTGTGTCCGCCGA